ACCTTCGATTTGCCGACGATATAGTCCTTATGGCAGAATCGCTGGAGGACCTAAGCACTATGCTCAATGACCTCAATAGTGTTTCCCAACGGATAGGTCTTAAGATGAACATGGACAAAACAAAGATCATGTTTAATGTCCATGTCACACCTATGCCGGTAGTTGTTGGGAACACTAAGCTCGAAGTTGTTGACGAGTATGTTTACCTGGGACAAATAGTCCGACTAGGTAAGTCCAACTTCGACCGAGAGGTCAATCGACGGATTCAACTCGGTTGGGCAGCGTTCGGGAAATTACGGCACATCTTCTCGTCAGGTATACCTCAAAACTTGAAAACGAGACTGTACACCCAGTGCGTGTTGCCAGTGATGACATACGGAACTGAGACGTGGTCCTTCACTGCTGGCCGGATGAGGAAGCTCAAGGTCGCTCAGCGAGCTATGGAGAGGGCTATGCTCTGAGTTTCTCTGCGTGATAAACTCAGAAATGAGGATATCCGCAGTAGAACTAGAGTGACCGACATAGCCCAACGGATTAGTAAGCTGAAGTGGCAATGGGCCGGCCATATAGCTCGAAGAACCGACAACCGATGGGGAAGAAAGGTTATCGAGTGGCAGCCTCGTACCGGCAGGCGAAGTGTAGGGCGTCCCCCCACTAGATGGAGTGACGACCTGGTAAGATATGCAGGAAGTCGATGGATGCAGGTGGCTCAGGACCGTGCTTTGTGGCATTCTTTGGGGGAGGCCTATGTTCAGCAGTGGACTTGTGAAGGGCTGTAATGATGATGATGATGATGATGACATTCCGTAAAGAAAGCAACAGTCTTTTGTATGGATGTACGAAGGCGAAAACAAACCAAGAAGCGTGAGCAAAAAAATTATTGCGTATTTTCTGCCAGATGGGACTGGACTGCTTAAGCCTACTTGAAAAACAAAAAAATAGTTAATGGTGAACCATTTGTTTGCCCAGTGTCTTAAGTTAAGGAAAAATTACTAAGAAGTTGTTCTTATTGCACCATGACAGTGCAGTGCTTCGGCGCACATCGCGAACAAGATATTTTTGCTTCTGAAAAGATGGAGCTCGTGACCTATTCCACACACAGTCAAAACCTCGCACCTTTGATTCCTACTTTAAGTTCATTTTAGTACAAACTTAATTTTATTTTTTCCCAAAAATCAAAGATTTGAAATCTATCAAAATTATCTAAGATACGTATATTAAGGGGCTACTCCATGCGAACGACCTTGAGCATTTGACCTAAGCGTAGCTGTAGCGAGCGGCTCGCCGGAAGAAATATGTAAGACGCCACCTATTGTACGAAAGTAGTATTATTTTTTCAACATCAATAAACTATTTTATGGAAATACACATAGCGTACAAAGATAAATGTATTTTAATTTTTTTATTCTGTATATATTAGTTGCATTATATTAGAATTATGTATTTTCATATATTATCTAATTATGAAATTTTATAATTAATTATATATTAAAACTGAAGCATTGAAAATTGTGAGTTTAAAAGATACCTATTCACTATAGGTAAATAAATAGATAGCTCGGCTTTTGTACAAATATTTGGTGCAATAAAAAATAAATAAATAAATAGGATGTTTCGCATATGTGTTTTTGATTATTGTTAATTTTTACGTGTCACGTATTGAAAAGTTACCTACTAATTTTTGAACTGAGCACCTTGTAACTTAGCCTGCTTATTACTTATGCTAGCAGTTATTATCCTCACCCCAATGATTGATGAGGATGAAAATCAATTTTATTTCTACATACGTAATTATATTTATTTATACATAAGGGTAACTTTAATAAAGGTAATACAAAAATCAACAAGAAGTATAAGGGTTCAATCTTTCAATTTCAGTTGTAAAAAAACGTTACCCCCACACTAGGATTTTCTCCTGTGTCGTGGAGGCAGTTTACAAACATAAATATTGCACAAAGACAAACATCCAGACCCGGAACAATTATTTGTAGGCCATACAAATACTTGTTCCATGCGGGATTCGAACCCGCGGCCCCCAGCGCAACAACTGATTGCTAAGCCACTGCGCCACCATGAAGCTAATACAAAAACTAACTTTGTATTTGCTTCATGGTCGCCGGGTTATAGCTAAAGTGACCATACGTCCCGTTTTGAACGGGACTGTCCCTTTTCTCGGTCTCCTGTCCCATTGTCCCCAAACAAAGCTCCGGGACACAAAATTGTCCCGTAACTCGTTGGATGGAAGTATTCAAAGTCAACAATCTTCAACATAGTTTTTTTTAATCGAATATATTTTATGTCTACCTGGTACGAATGCTCCGGTAGAAAGAGTATTTTTTTATTTTGCATAAATTGTGGACGTCTGAAAGAAACACTTACGGTTCCAGAGTTCTAAAGGCGATGTTGTTAACAAAGATAACAATAAAAAACTTGAGCAGAATTTTATTCTTATTTAAAATCATCACCAACTTTATTAAAGCAAATTTAATCCACTGACAAATGTAATTAATAATTAAAAAAAATATGTTGCATTTAATAATTACCGTCTATACCGAATATAATTTTATAGTGAACACTAATTGTATAAAGTTATAGTTTTTAGAGTATAAATAAACCCATGTCCTGTTATGAGTTAAAAAATAAATGGTCAGTTTAGTCTTTTTAGTTAAATTTAGTTTTAAAAATTTTTAGTTTATAGTAAAAAGTAGGTATATTAGTACTTTTTACCGAATTATAAGTATAGAACACCTTATGTACTCAATTATTTTTTGAAAAAGAAGAAAAAACAAGCAATAAATAATATACTATATTTTAGCAAAAAACTATAACTTAGTAATACTAATTATAACTTAGAACATAAATGAAAAACTCATAACTGACTTTTTGGCCCGACCCAGGATTCGAACCCGGGACCTCATGATCAGCAGTCGCACTACTACAACCACTAGACCAACGAGGCAGCACTATACCTGATAAGATATTGTGGTTGGGTGATAATATTGAATTAGCCTTTTATAGTGTAAATTATAATATTTGTCGAAATTTTAATTATGGATTCGAAATTTCGAACCTTACATGCTAATGGTGCTTCATTTTTTTATTTGCATTTACTTCAAAGAAAATACACGCAAAAAGCTTCATCGCGCAGTAAAAAGCACAACAAATATATTATGTATAACTAATACGAAAAATTATACCCAAAACAAACAAATAATACTACCTATAAATAACCTAATAAGTAATAATATTATCGACTCATATGACGTGGCGTATGCGTTGGTCGACGCTCTAACGACACGGGCTTCTCGTCGAAGAGCTCAGCGCTCACTGACTTCACCAAGCCAGGGCTGCCAGATCAAAAAACTCATTCAGCGCTAAGACGATACAAAAAGCGCTAGATTTTATGAAAACAGCGCTTTAAAAAAGCGCTAGATTTCGCACTAAACTAACTACATTTTTTCTTGAATTATAAATTATAATAAAAAACGCAAATAAAGTTCAACCAAATCGTTTAATTTCGTTATCGAGACAACATTAAATAATTTTCAATTAACAAGTTACTGAACTAGGGCCAGCTTCATCAGCGTTTTTTTTCTGGCTATATTTTTCTGATGTCCCAATACTTCGCAAAACATCGACAGGAAGCTTATAACTATAACAATTTCTGTCAACAGCAGTTAGTCCTGTACGAACAATTAAAATGGAATTAATTGTTTTTAAGTGCAATGTATTTCGCAACTTAGTTTTTACAACATTCATTAAACTGAACACACGTTCGATGTCAGCATTTGAATGCGGTATGCTCATTACCTTTGTGGCCACTTCAAACAATTCTTTATAAGGACAATTTCCAGCTGCATCCCTCGACTGCTGAACTTCAGCCCAGAATTTCACTGTGTCGTCAGTATGGACCCACTCTTGCAGTATTATAGTTTGCCATTGCTGTACAATACTATCCATATCGTTTGTGCATCCAAGACTCTCTAAGACTTTTATAAAATTTTCAATGAGTCTATTTGGCTTTAAAATAACTGAAACTGATAGCGCCATTGTATTTTTTAATAGTTTTAAGTTTTCCGGCATTCTTTGTTGTAGTTCATTGATCAGCTTTATTATAAAATCAACACACCTTTTCTTGATCATTTTTTTTTCTTCATTATCTAATGCAGACTCATTGATCTCTTTTTCAAATAAGTATCCAAGAAAAGGACTCATGGAAAGATGTTCTCTTACATTAAGAGAGTCAAATTGCAATCCTGGTTTAGTAATAATTATTTTAGTGCACAAATTTCTTATCAAATCATAAAGAGTGTTGTATAACAGACAGGGATCTGAAGTTTTGCTTTCGAAGATTTTTATTGATTCTTGAACATTTTTAAGCGTGCCACATAAAAATTGCAAAAAAATTTTGTTCTTTTCGTCATTAAACATATTATACAGTAATTCGGCTTGATAGCAATTTTCTCTAGTTCTCATGATTTCAAAATGTAATTTTAGTTCGATCCATTGGCCTAGAATTCGACTTACTGCAGGTTCGATTGACAGCCATCTTGTATCACAAGCTTTTAAAATCTTCAGTGGTTCTTCTCCGCAATTTATTGCTTCGTATAGTTGTCTGTATTCATTTTGACGTTTTGCTGAGACTTTAAACCAATTATGGGTTTCTCTAATCATAAACTCTATGTTTCTAGGTATCGTCTCAAACGAAGCGCGAGAAACTGCCAATTGGATAGAATGGCAGACACACCTAATCAGTACAAGATTGGGTAAAGAAAACCGCTGTTGCAATGTTTTATATACACCGGCGTTTACTCCAACCATTACGGAGGCGTTATCAGTTCCTATGCCGATCAACTTGCTTTTGTCTAGGTTAAAGTCTTCGAGTAATGCTGTGATTGCAGTTACTATCCCCTCGGCATCTGCCGATTCCAATCCTACCAGCCCCAAAAATGTGGAAACTATTTCATTGCGCGTATTGCTGAAATATTTAATGACAACACCAAGATATTTATTAACAGAGACATCAGTTGATTCGTCAATAATTAAACTGTATGAATTATTGCTGATATCTGTCCTGAGATTTTTTTTAAAATGAGGTGCCAAAACTTCTTGAATCACAGCGGTGCATTTCGTGCGGTGCATTTTTATTTCTGAAGTAGCTTTAGAATCAGAAAATTTGTTTTTACATAACTCTGTCAGGTGATCGATTGCTTGTATAGACGAGTGTTCGGCAACGTACATTGCAAGAGCTCCTTCAGCTTCCAAGCAAGTTTTTTCGACGGGTTTTTGAACCACGGACGTAATCAATGTTTGTTTATTGTCAAGGAAAGGTTTTGCTTGTTTTTTATGATTTGCCGATTCATAATGTCTTTGAATATCACTTATTTTTGCAAGAAATTCCTTTTTACAAAATGTACACATTGCTCTTGTGTCATCGCCAGATACTGGTTTCAGCCATTGCTTGTAGTTTGGCGACTTTTCCCACTCAGTTTTATATCTTTGCTTATATACAGATTGCTTACGTAATGGCATTTCCATTTTATTATAAAGTCTACTCACAAAATTGCTAAATACACACAAAACTTAATATTTACGAACGGACCTATACACTTTCTTTGTATTGTAACTTTTAATTTAACTGTGCTCTAAACAACTGACTGAAACTGAATGAAAGAAAATAAATGAATTACCAAAACCATGAACGAAAGTTTTAATGAAGGGGATTTCCCCGCTTATAGTCTATGGGTAATGTAGAATAACAGTGCTGCCATGATATAAAGTGTAAAAGAGTTAGATAACCCGCTAAAAGCTACAATTTTAAAATGTGTGCTAAGGACACAAAAAAGCGCTAGATTAAGCGCTAGGCGCTAAAATTTTGAAATGCGCACTAAACACACCAAAAAAGCGCTAGATCTAGCGCCCAAAGCGCTAAAATGGCAGCACTGCACCAAGCCCGTGAGCAGTAAATATGCCCAGATTTTAAAATAATTTCTTAATAAAATCAAATATTGGTCTTTTGAAAAAAAATTTACTATAGAAATGTTCATTAATAAATTGCCTATCCATTGGTGTAAATCGCAAAATAAAATAATACTTACTTTACGAGGAGATGCATGTTATCAATAATAATTTCACATTTATGTGGTTTCGTTGTAAGGAGATTATATTAATATTTATTCCTTTAAAAAAAAATTGGATATAGCTTTTATGGAATCAAGATTATGTAGAAATATAATGTGTTTTTTATTTGTTGATATATCTTTTAAATAAAAAGTAGATAGCTTCTAAAAACTGCCCAAATAACGATTGGCGCGACATTTTGCTCAACCTGCGCCTTAAGGCACAAGGCTACATAATGGTCATGAAGTATAAAAATTATCTCTTAATATTATCTATAATATATAATCAAATCTTATTAAAAATATAATTTGAGTTTATGAAATCCAGTCTTCGCATAGTACCTATTAGACATTTGAAAACAAACGTTATATATTCATTCAAACTATATGTACAGGAAATATAAAATTAAAATAATTGTTTTATGATTTAAGACCGCAGCACGTTTAATACTATATCTATGGCAGAACAAAACGAAAAATACCGCGAAACTTGATTACTGTAACGTCAGTGCCGGTTTCGGTTGCTGTCACCTGTCAGTGTATGAACAGACATAACTTTTCAAAACAACATTTGTTTACTAAATTTTACGATGGATTCACGATTGTACGATACCGTGTTAGCTAACCATAAAATTTTCGAAGATATCAAAGAGAGTTTGCAAGAAAGTTCAAGTGGGAAACTGCATAATTTGATAGACCTAAAGGACGATGTACTTTACGCATGGAACTCTATTGAAAACTGTTTATTTAGTGTAAATGTGAAACACTTAGAAGAACACCCTGATGAAACTCCGTACCAGGTATTCGATGTGTTATAAATTTTCTCTAATAAGATCCTATCTTCCATAACACCGACAAGGTTAACTTTAGCAAATTAGAGGTTATGTTTTGTTTTTAGACTGAAAGTTGTAAAACGTACCATAACTTCATACGAATTGCATTTCTAGATAGAAAATTAAAAAAGAATTGACCCTGCTTTTAAATTCATTGACTTTTAAATTGAATTTGTTAATTGTTAATTATATCTATTCAAATGTTTAAAATTTGACGCAAGTTAGGTCTTAAACTATATAGTACTTTAGTATTTGTAACCCTAAAATATAGGTATATTTAAGCCTGAGTTTTCTTCGAAAATAGTTTTTGTTTTCATTTTCAGAGAATGTTAGGTTTTTGATTTTAATTCTATTTTCTGTTAATATAAATTGTAGTGTTCATAGAAGTATCTCTATAATATGATAAAGAAAAATGTATAGCAAGTAAATAAATGTAATGTATTAGTAGATAGACTAGTAGTAGGTAATACAACAAACCAGGATATATTTCATTTGCAATTTTTTGTTTTATCAATGGCAATATAATTAAAAAAATTTAAATTTTGTACAACGGACTTCAATAAAAATTATTAAGAATAACTTAAAAACTATTGGTCAGACCTTGTTCAAATTTGTATGGGACAACAAGAGAAGCATCAGCTTTCAAATAAAAAAAAGAAACATCAAAATCAGTTCACCCAGAAAAAAGTTATGAGGTAACACATATAAAAGAATCATACCATCGAATTGAGTACCATCTGCTTTTTGAAGACGGTAGAAAACAATGAACAATGATAAATAAACAGGACAGTTTCTTTTTCCGAACCAGTGGTGAAGCTTTAATGACTTTCAATAAGTATTCTTGTAATGTAAATTGAATAAAAATGATTGTGTTTTATACTATTCTACTCTATTCAAAGAAAATCAATGAATGTTAATGTTCAAGACAATGGAAATCATTCCATCAAGAAATTCCTCCCGAATTCTAGTCTGCATGTCGTCAACAAATTTTAAACATCCTTTGTTTTTAATAAGCAGAATACCAATTGCATTTCCTGTTCCAAAGCCAAGTAAAGCAGTTATTATTATTTCAAACATACACTTGGCACTAAAACACAGTGCTATGTTGGAATAGATTTTTCAATTTTTTGACATATTTGTTTTATATTTTCTTCAATTGGTGACTTATGTCAGGTGAGAATTTTTACTAGATTGTGTTTTAATAATAGTTATATTATTCTTTATTATTATTGCTTAATATAAATATGGGTGTTTCCATAAAATTAGGGTCACTTTTGGAGGTAATTTTTCTTCATTATATTTAAGATGCTATTGCATTTTCTAATAATGTACATAATTTATTATGTCATACCTAAAAGGTCCAGTCACTTTATGTAGTATTTTATGAGAAATTTAGAGATATGTGAATTTAGGCCTCTAGGGACTGACTGTTATTGTTAGGGACTGATGAACAATAACAATATGATAATATAAAATGTGTATAGATTTTGAGTCATATTTATTTATATTTTCATGTACAACACAGGCACAAGTATCACGGTCCATAAGTTTAGATATCACAACCCAGAATGGACATAATCGACAAAATAATGAAATGTTTTTGTTTTTTAATTCCATTGCGAGTAATCCACTCCTTTTTTCCTGCTTCAGTGCGACTATTACTGTCATCTTCATAGAACCTGTAAATCGTTCAGAGTACTCTATTTTTCTTAGCTTTAGTTTTCTTTTTAGAAATATTGCACCGAAACTTATACATCATTTACACAGCTATTGCCGAATTGCCAAAGTTTACATTTGTCAACATTTGAGCCATACAAAAGCCATTTGAAATTGGATTTCTCTTGATGAGTTTTAGCTTTTCAAAAATTTTCTATAATTTAGGTCTGTAAAACTTCCTTCCTTTCCTTATTGACCAATTCTCTAATTTGATCAGGATCTTCTGTCATTTGTTTAATTTTACTTTTAGGTGTCAGTAATGTCTTACAGTTCTTGATTTTTTGTCTCAATCTATTGTATTTCTTCTGTTTCGTGTTAAGCGTTTTCTTTAAATCGACAATAATAGTGCATTTTTTGTAACACTTTATTTCTTAAATTCCAATGACGAAGGCTTCTTCTTTTACCTTCAATTAGTCTAAGGTCATCATTAACATTTTCGTTGTTTCTGCAGCTATATTTTTGTGGGTGGTATTCACAGTCACAATTAGTCACAATTATTTCTTACTTTGTGGTTCTTTCTATAATTAGAGATCTCATCAGATCTTCCACTCTTTTCTAATTTTTCTTTGCTCACGAGGGGTCATATCCTTAACAGAGTTTCGCTGTCCCTCCTCCTTTTTTTTTAGATATTTTAGTCTTTCTTTCTCTTCATATTCAGCCAACAAAATGGAATGATTTTAATCCAAATGTGCAGATTTTTTATGGCTATCTCCTCTTAAAATAACTTTGGCTTCTTTGCAGGCGGCATGTTGCTATAAAACAGATAAACAACTATTAGAAAATATGACCAATAAGTGTAGATAAACTTTTTGGTCTCGTGGTCTCAGACCACCTGTTTCAGTCTGGATTCGAATACCACAAAGGGCAAGCATTGGATCTAGTTTTATGTATTCGTAAAAGTAATAATCTATATATTCATATTTCATTTAAATAACTTGGCTAGTTCCACTAAGTAAATAAACATATTTGAGGACAAGTCAATATGTATAGTTGTCCAATAAATGTTACATAATTATAAGTGAACGTCAGTCCCTGACCACTTCCATAAGTCCAACATTCACAACTAGGGCCTGACGGTTCAGAGACTGACAATTCGGAGTAAAACTAAAAAGAATTACTAATCAACCACTATATTACGACATTTAAGACTATCTACCGAACAAAATTTATAAATCACTTCAAATAATCAGTTAATATCAATTTCTTATTATTGAACTATAAAATTACTTACCTAGGGACTGACAAAGTGACTGGCTCAACATGTATTTGCACAGCTACTACAGAATAGCCGTTGCAAAGGGTGTGTAATTTGCGGATAATATAATATCTTTCCTTAAAATCTACTGGTTTGCATTCACTCTTCACTCATATTATGTCCCGAAATTTTAAAATCTGTTATTGGCTAGGCACTGTCTGGTTATTAAAGTTGAGGACACTAATTTTGACTTTAGGTAAACATTATTATTGTTTTTTTAAATTACAAAAATCGATGAAATTAGTTGTAAGTACTTTAATATTTAACAATTGTAAAGATAATTAAAGTATAAATTAATTGTTTTTCGAAATATGGATGCCCAAACACAAAATTTCGGTGCGCGGACATGGCTAGGGAAATGACATTTGGAGCCAATAAAAATGATTACAAGAGTGTAGTATAATATTATTGTTTTAAACAAATTTTGGGGAATTAATAAAACACATTCTAAACTACTACTTAGCAATGTTAAAATAAAATAATTATTAATTATATCAAGTGGAAAGTGCTGCGGACACAGAGTTGCCCGATTTTTGTGGAAACACCCATATATACTGGTTATTTGGCTCACGTTTCAGTGTTGAACTCATGCTGTAAGCATATCCATTGAACCAAACAAGGCAAAAAGTAAGTTAAGTTTGTAAATAAGTTGCCAGGGAGCTTACAAGACCATATGGCGGTGTAGAGCCAATTTCAGCAGGGCATCATACTTACACTTTATTAGATACTGAAACTCAAGGAGGATCAGGTTACAAATTTACTAGGTGGCACAACTCTTCAGATGAACTGTTTGGGTGGTGTCTACCCTTTCACCTATTCCTGCCACCAATGGTTGCACTGCTGTTTCGGTTTAAAGGGTAATTACAGACCGTGAGGTACCTTAATCTCAGAGGTTATATTGCATCTGTAGCTTTTTTGTTTAGTTGTTGGGTACAGGTGTCCATGGGTTATAGTTTACCGTGCAGTGGGTGGCAGTGTAAGTATATCCACTACCCCATATCATCCCGTGGGTGTCACAAGATGTGACAGAGGTAAAGAAATCGGGAGAATAATGACAAAAAATAAAAAAACTGCAGTTGCCAACCTGATTGCCAAGCGTGCCAGCTATGGTAAATGAGACAATCTATGGTGGATACCTATGTTTAGCAAAGAAAAAATACAAGATGTGATACTAGTAAAACTCAATACTTGTTTTCAATGCAAAAGTTCAATTTGCCGACATAAATTACATGTATTCCATGAGAAACTACATGTTTATAGTTTGCAATTTTTTAAAAGTAACGACATACTTTGTGATTATGAGTTGTATTTGTGTATGATTGTGTTCATTATACATGGGTATAATGAACACAATCATATGCAAGTACAACAAAAATGGAGAATACAATAATACATTCAAAATACAGTAGTCTATGATTATACCTATAATTTATGAAAATTAGTAATGAATATTATTTTCCAACTAGTATGTGTTGATTGTTCCTTTTTTCAACATGCTTTTATTGGTATCTCATGTATCTATTTCTCTATTTATCTATCTATCTATGTAATGGAATCTTTTAATGTAATTTTCACCAACTTGTAAATGGCCAATTGCCTTGAAAATTTGCATATGGAGTAACAATGACAATACAATAATTTAATAAATGTATCGTAATATCGTGATCAGGTACACCAGGATAATTCTCTCTAGAATCATCACAGCTCATCATTCATCATCATTACAGCCTTTCACAAGTCCACTGCTGAACATAGGCCTCCCCCAAGGAATGCCACAAAGCACGGTCCTGAGCCACCTGCATCCATCGACTTCCTGCATGTTGTCCTACCAGGTCGTCACTCCATCTCGTGGGGGGACGCCCTACACTTCGTCTACCGGTACAAGGCCGCCACTCGAGAACCTTTTTTCCCATCGGTTGTCGGTTCTTCGAGCTATATGGCCGGCCCATTGCCACTTCAGCTTACTAATCCGTTGGGCCCCGTTGGGCTATGTCGG